TGCCATAACAGTTTGGCGTTGTCGGCACAGGATCACTACGAGATCGACGGACCAAGGCCACATTGCAGGTGGACTGATATGAGTGAGCAAGGACTGGACTGCTCAGGACCGTGACTCCAGCTGGATGAAAAGAACCTTTTTATGGTAAATTGTTTTAACAACAGAGATACGCTGGTGATGATTGTGATGGATGATCTTGAATAAGCAAAGAACATTGAATTTTATTTTTGGCTGTTGAAGAACCTGAGAAGATTTTTGAAACATCATCTGCTGAGAGTGAGTACAGAAAAGCTTCAAGATGCCTCCTTTGTTTTCCAAAGAGGATTTCTGCCAGCTTCTCCAAAAGGTGACGGTGTTGGAGCTCAAGAATCATCGTTTGGAAGAGATGAATGCTTTGGAGAACTCAACATGTGTTATAAATGGGTGAGAAGCCTGAGATGAGAGATCAACATGGAGAGAAGATGGAAGCTGCTTCTGAGTGTAAAACTGTATGGAACTCTGTTGGTGCCAGACCAAAAAATCTCTCAGGAAGGATTCAGCTCTTAGATGACATCGAARGGCCAGAYWTACAGAGAAATGRTTTTTCTCCACCAGCAAGGAGAAGAAAGCAACAGGCTGTAATCAAAACAGCTGATAACAGCCAGAGAAATGAAGCAGTGTTTCTTCAAAACAGATTCACACCACTGGAAGAAACTGAGTCTGAACAAAGGTCACTATCTGACCTCAGAGAGGGACCTGAGACCAGATCCAACTCAAAGCCAAAGCAAGTCCAAAGAGTCTTTCAAGAATCAAGAAATGCTGATCATCACAGATAAAATGGTGAATYAGATCAGAGGCTTCTGGAACAAGAAAAAAGCCAAAGTTCTGAGTTTTGCTGATAAAGTGTCTGACCTCACAGAGAAGATTCTGCAAATAGCGGCTGAGTATCCAACTCTGAATACGCTCATCATTCATACAGGAAGTGATAAAGTGATGAACCGACAGTCAGAAATCCTGAAGAAGGATTTTATTCTGCTGCTGAATGCAGTTAAAAATCTCAACATGGATGTGTTCCTCAGTGGGCCCGTTCCTACAGCCAGAGGAGGAGCTGGGAGGTTCAGCAGACTGTTGGCTCTTAATGGATTTTTGGAAAAACTCTGTGCTGACCACTCTGTGAGATATGTGGACAACTTTGATCTCTTCTGGGAGAGAAAAAATCTCTTCAAGTCTGATGAGCTGTCTCTGAATCAAACTGGAGCTCAACTTCTGGCTTCAAACATGAAGTATTTCCTGAACAAAGTTCTMGCTGGAAACAAACAGGAAAAACCACAACAACTGACGTCTGAATGACAGCTGGAGAAAACTGAGATATCAGTGGAACACAGCGTGCCAGTTACTGATAAGGAGACTGCTTCAGAATCAGAACCAGAGAGAGAGGAGTTACTTCGAGCTGCAGAACCGGAAGAACAACTGGATTCATCAGCATCACAAACAGAGGATCTCTTGGACTCTGAGACCCCAACAGGACAGCAAGTGGAATGCCCCTCCTGGATTTTACTAACAACATGGAAGAACCTGGCGAAATTAAGATAAAAAAAACACCCTGTCCGAATCCACGTAACCCTCCTCTTCCAGCCCCTCGCACTAAACCAAGATCTACAAAAAGTCACAGAGCCCCACCACGACCACCTCTGACCCTTCGACACATCAAAACAGACAACCATGTTTGTGTTCAAGATGATCCAAAGACTTTTGTGTGATAACTTTTTTGGGGGTTTAGAAATGACTGTGGGAGGAATAAAAATTGAATTTCTGTGGTTGGGATTTCAGAAAAGTACATATACTTATGTTGATGTTGACATTTTAAAAAAAATACATTAAAGTGTTTTTCTTTTGTTTTATTGATCATTTAATTGGTGATTTAATGATCAGATGGGGGAGTGTGGTAGAACTAATACTTTTATGTTTAAGCAAGTAATTCATGACATCCTTTAATGACCTAGGTTTTCATGACATACTGTTCATCTGCAGACAGAATGATTAAAGTCAGAACAAGATTTGCTAACAACAGTCATTCTTCGATATCACTTGTGTTTATCTTTGTGTTTTCCATTGACCTTGTATCAAATCTTGCTAAGATGACAGAATGGTGTTTGTTAATATATATATGAGGCCTCTCGAGACACAGAGTGTACAACAGTAGTGTGGAGAGACAGTGACAGAGAGAAGCAGAGGCACAGAGACAGGCCAGGTTGTTGTCTGTGTTTCCTTTTGTTGCAATAAAACTCAGCTGATCATCTCACAGAGTACCTTCAATTCTTGGACCACGCATTTCTGTCTTTGTTAAATAAATATTGCCATAACATTAGGTTTTAGTGTTGATTTGAACAATAGTTCAGTGATTAAAAGAGGTTTTAAAATCACAGACGTAGATAGATAAAGCTTCAACATATTGCTGTAGAAATTATTGTTGGTATCCCCTAACTCACACACATTACCCCTTCAACCTTTCTTAAACTGAGTTTCCTCAGTTTAAAGTTGACTGTGAGTTTACCGGATGTCCTGAAGGCTTGCGCTGCGGTCCCGTTTTTTCGCCCACATCTTCAGCGTGTTAGAGAGGAGGAGGAGGAACTCTCCGTTCTTCATCCCGACTGCCAGCATCTCTCCATCTGCGCTGTAGCTCACGCAGCGGGCCGCGTGGCCAACACAAACTTTGTTCAGCAGTTTCTGAGCAAAACGCACGGAAAGATGCAGAAATGGTGATTTGGAGAAGAATATCTGATGACGGATTATTGCTGCTGTAATTTCTCCTCTGTTTGTGCGTCGGCACCTTGTCACTAAGATCCCAAAGCCTGATGGTGGAGTCGTCGCTGGTGGTGATGCAGAGATCTTTGACAGGATGAGAAGCCAGACCCCAGATCCCTCCCCGAGCATGGCTGTCCAGCAGCAGGTTAGACGCTGCGTTCTTCTCCCCGACCTCGATGATCTCCCCGTCCTTTGTGCCCACCAGGATCTTACCCTGAAGATGATGAAGAGGGGGGCTGACGTAATGAGGGAAAGTGAGGAGGAGGATAACGATAAAAAAAAGATAAAATAGTCCCACCTTTCCTCTGCAGACGGAGCGGACACACTCCACCTGCTGACCCGTCTCCAGCTGGAAGGCTCGACAGCGTTTCATCTCCTGGTCCCAGAGTTTCACCGCTCCACCCTCTTTGGTCCTGATGAAAAACAAACAGCCTCTAAATTCAGCTGAAACATATCTGTTCATTTCAGGTCATTTTCATTCTTTTCAGAGAAACCAACAGATGAGTAAGAAAACACTTTTTTGTAAAATAGAAATAAATAAAAAAAGTTAAAAAGCTAAAATTCATCAGAGTAAAGCAGCCGGTCTTTGGTATGTCACTCACGGTCGCTCTTTGCCTCCAGTGACGATGAGTCCATCTCTGAGTGTGGTGTACATTGTGAAGACCGGCCCCGTGTGAGCTTTGGCCACCACCCTCAGCAGGTAGTGATCTCGCCACACGTACACGTCTCCGTTGATGGCGCCTGTAAACGTCAGATTATTCTGAAAACAAATGAATAAAAATCAGCCCAACAGCCTGTTATGATGATGATGATGATGATGATGATGATGATGCCTTTGTTGTCATTGTACAGAGCAGGGTTCAACAAGATTTTATTTTTTTTTACCTGCCTGACATGAAAAGTTACCTGCACGAAAAAAAACTGTTCAAATTTTGATAAAATAAGAAAAACGTGTATTTGTACTACAAAAATATTAACATGGTTTTACAGAGGTATATAACATGTGACATCTGATTAAACAGATGGTAACATTTTTGAGTTACTAACAGTCAATTGTTTTATCAAGAACATCTTCAAAACCTTTTTTAGACCTTTCCAGTGTTTCCCTTGAGTACCGGCCTTGGGGGCGGGGTTTATGAAAACAGAACGATCAACAGCAGCAGCTTTGTTTTAAATACAATTAACAGAACATGAAAATGTCTACAATTTGCATTAAAATAATCCTGTATAGCCTATCCCATATCTAAAGATACATTTAAGATAACTTGAACTGGAGTCTCCCTACAACTTAATGATAAATCTAATGTTATTTATACAAGTCAGAATATAATTTGAGATATTTTAAATAGGTATTTTGCCTTGTCAAAATATATTGAGAGATGTCTATTTATTTGTTTCTTTCTTTCATTTATAAAAACAAAACCATCTATGTACAACATTAAAAAAAAGAAGTAAATCATACCCTGAAGTAAAAGGGTGCAGAGTGAAGTAAAACAAACTCTTATCATATTTACCCCATATTTTTAAAAATCAACTTCAACAAACAAAATAATAAAAGAAAACATTTTATTATTTGTCCTAAATAACTAATACGTCTAGTTTAGTCATAAAACAATTTCAGATAACTAGAATATAAGTGTGGTGAAGCCAAATAAATGTTATATCGGCCTGCCATACAATGAGCTTCTGCCTGCTGAATTGACCCGCTTCTTCTGCTGCACTCTCGTCTTCATCATCATTTTCATCATCATCTCCATAATCATCTTCATCATCAGAGCAGAAGCCGACATTAGCAAGATGGATTTTGACTGAACAAACGTCCACATATTTTTATCATCTCTGTGGGTAAAAATACATAAAAAACATTTTTTTCCTCCGAAAACACAGGTGTGAAAAAACCATGGTTGTTAAAGCTTCGCTCTGCACGACGTGCAGCAGGAAGGAGGGAGGAACTTGTGATCCTGTGACACGACGGGAAGACGTAACTTTTCTACAGTGGGAGGGAGGGGGACATTTTGATGATTTATTCTCTCTTTACGTGTTTTAAAACGCCATATTTCATTATTTATTTTCAGAATATTTTGAATAAATGGTCCTGTAAAAAAATAAAAGAAATTGTTTACCTGCCCGAATATGGGTTTTAACTGCCCCGGGCAGTCGGGTAATAGAATTTGTCGAACCCTGGTACAGAGCACAATGACACTGCTCTGTAATGACACCCATTCAAGAAGACACATATGACAAAAAAACATGGGGGAGTATGTGAACAGGTCATGCAGCAACCAGCAGGGGTCGTGCTACCTTTAAAAAGAAAAACAAAAATACCACATAAGGATAGATGAAGGAAAAAAACACAAGGTTCAGATGAATGTGTTCTCATGTCTGTTGTGGTCCAGTGAAATCTACAGCCTGTTGAGGTCTTCTGATGTGGACCATAAAATAAACTCACAGCACCGAAGGCGACGGACAGCATCGTCTGCATCCTGCCGTCCTCCAGTGTTCCCACCACCCCCTTCTTGTACATCAGAGCGCCGCCCGCCAGAGTCCAGAACTTCACATGTTTGATTCCCACCGACACGAACTGAGAGTCTGAGTCAGGCCGAAACTCCACCACAAAGATCCGGTCTGGGTGTCCAGCTCTGCTGCACGCTCTGGATCCTGCAGGAAACGCTGCTGTTACTCACTATTCTGACGCCGTACTTTCTGCTCTTACTCTAAATACTTGATTTATTGCCACAAACAGTAATGAGTAGCAAAAAACAACAACTCAACTTTATTAAGAGTTAAGCAACGTGTTTCTTAGAACTTAACTTTTTATGGGCTTTACAGGAGCCTTACTAGAAAAATCAAATCTGTGGAAAATTTTTATTTTTTGCAAAACATCATAAAAATATCCTGCTTTTATGTTTTTATTTTTAATTTCCACTTTCATCAAACTTCATCATCTTTGATTCTACATAGTGTGTACAGTACATTCATGTGTTGTTTTGTTTTTTTACTTACAATTTTAATTTCCTGTGGAAATCAGTTAAATGTCTATGCTTTTTCTCTGACTTATTTTTGTTCTTGTCATCACTTGTCAATAATTGCACTTTGGGAGTTTTGCTAATGAAAGACTAATAACAAATTAAATTCATTATTAATATTCTTATTAAAAGCATATTTTTAAGGATCATATTTATAAGAACACAAACAATGCTTAATGTGATTGGTTAAAAAAAAGCTGAAATTCAAATGCAATAAAATAACACGACACCATAAAACTAAGTTCAACTTTTTTTGATCAGATTCATTTCATTATAAATGAATAAAACTAACCACTGTTTTAAAACCTAAAACTCCAGGATATTGGTTCATGTCAGTGTTTGGGATCTAGTTACTGATTAATTGATTCGATGTGTCTGACCTTCCTGCCAGCGCCACGCAGTGATGATGTGTTCAGGTTCCACTCCGACAGACAGCAGCAGCTTCCCCGTGGCGCTGAAGTTCAGGTAGCCAACGCCTTTGCTGTGTGGGCAGCGGAGGATGGACAGAGTCTGTTTGCTCATGGCATCCCACACGTGGATGGAAGGAGTTGTTCCTGCGTGGAGATGATCACAACCGTCTGGTTTTAACAGCATTAGCGTGTGTCACAGATAATGTAAAAAACAAGAGAACAACTGGAGCAGTTAGATGACAAGGGCAGCTGACAAACACCCTGAGATCCAGACCAGCATCGGAACTAATTTATTGTTACACTGAATGTTGCACTTTCTTTTGACTCATATTGGTGCAACGTGCCTTTCATAAATAATTTTCTGTCTTTAGGTTTCAGGGTGCTTGTTGTGATGGGAGAGGCAGTGGGACTGGGTTTTGTTTTACCTGGGAGGTCACTGACGTCACCTGATGTGTTGTGGGAGCGATGGAGGCAAATGAGGCCAGCCAAAACACAAACAGAACAAAACAAGTGAAAACCTGCAATGATTTGTTTCAAATAGGCCAATGTCTTGAAGGAAGAAATGTGTCACAAAATCTCTATATATTTTTTTATATTCAAGCATGGTTTATCCTATAATGCTGCATCATATAGCTTTAAATAAAATATTACATCTAAACAGTACTGACCTGTTTTGTCCAATAACAAAAGTTTATTCCGTTTTGGTGATATTTACACATCTAACTGAGAATGAAGTATTAAACTTTACATGACATCTTTTTAAAACTTGATAGCCAGCAAATTTTTTAAATCACCTAATTCTCCTAATGTTGTACCAGAATCTACAATAAGGCCCCCTTACACCTTGATAAATACTCGTTTATGACGTAAAAATGGTCTTTGTAGGGTATTGTTGAGTTCTTTGGTTGTGTATTGAATGCACTGCTACACATGAAAGGTTTGAGCATCTACAAAACTTCAATAATGGGATTGTGGTGGTTTATCATCAAGGGGAAGCATATAAGTGTCCGAGGCAGAATGTCCATGATGTGGAACCAGTACTCACTGGCATGGTTTGGTTTCTGAGAATCTCGATACAGCAATGACCAGTGGTGGGCAGCGCTAATCCAAATATTAGCTCCGCAATTTCTAAAGCACTTATGAAAATATTTAGGCCCACAACTTCAAAAGCACTTATGCCATAGAAAAACTAGCAGAATCTAATTTTAAAGTGCAAGTTCAATTTGACACTTACAAGCTGGCAACAATTCATGTACAAGATATGTTCAACACTGTCAAATAGCAGTGTATGAAGCCTTTTGCAGCTTAATCCTACAACCACCGATTGCTGGGGACGTGATTTCCTGAAACAGACCTTTAGCTCCTGGTGTAAAAATTAAAAAATTGTTGAGGATTGCTAGTTCAGCTGCTTCGTCTTTTTCTTTTGTTTGTTGTAGATTTTTCATTAAAGAAGCATCAATAAAGTAATTTTAAAGCTGTTTATTGGGAAACTGAAGCGATGCATTCTGGGTACATGATGGATTTGATTTGTGATGAGAAACGAAAGCATGGAGTACAAGAAACTATCTTCACTTCAAAACAAGAGCTTGGATTTTAAAGTTTTGTCAGTCTTCATCAGCATAACATCTTTAAATTATTTCTGCGTCCTTCAGCTTACCCCATTGGCTGATTGCTTCGACCATTTATGTCAAGTATTGAGCTCCAGCATTTAAACTTTTTTTGTAAAAAAAAAAAGGAGCTCGATTGTAAAGTAAAATAAATCAATACATACAAAATTTGTGTATATGTATATGTACATGTTTATGTATATGTGTATATGTATATATATACAGTGGTTTGCAAAAGTATTCATACCCCTTGAACTTTTCCATATTTTGTCACATTACAACCACAAACATAAATATAAATATATTTCACTGGAATTTAATGTGAAAGACCAACACAAAGTGGTATACAATTGTGAAG